CGTGTCTCTTGCTGTACTATTTGCGGCAAAATACACGGTGTCGGTGCCGCTAGTTGCATGCATGTGCCAAACTCTGCCCGGTCAGGGTGCCACATCGGGCTTGGGTCTGGAATGGCATGAGCTTATCCGTGAATGACTTGCCAGGAAAATTAATATATGAAACGTTTTATCATAATGGTCATGTTGTTCAGGTAATTCAGTTTAACAGTTGAAACCTAACATCAATTTCGTAAGTAGAAAAATAAAAGAGCAGAATATATATATGTATATATATATATATATATATATATATATATATATATATATATATATATATATATATATATATATATATATATATATATATATATATATATATATATATATCGTGAAATCAGCAATAAATGTATTAGTGTATAGCTTCAAACTGACGTGTTGGCCGTTGTAGAATTCGAGACGGAAAATTGAAAAGTAAGCCCAGGTCCAACGTGCCCGAGGGTATGCTGTGTACTCCCCTTGTTCATCAGCACATTAGCAAGTTCCAAGGGTAACTTGAGAATGAGAAAAGAATTTTGGGGTTCACTGTATTAAGTTAATTCCATTACGTTGTTAGAAACTGAGGATATGAAAATATATATAGATACATACATTTTTGCAGCCTCTTCCTTCCTGTAATATCCGAAAACTATTGTGGTAACTGATGAAAATGCATGCACAGGCTTGTTGCTAGGGGCAAAAGCAAGAGGGAGGGGGGATGAAGCCGTTGCGTAAATGCAATAATGGCAGACTCCAAATAACAAAGAGGAAATTAACTTTATATGTATTTTTTTCTTTTTACCCCACCCCAGAAAATAATCTGATTTTATGTTTGTAATAAATAGAGACATTTTTGTCGGCCGCGGGTATGTCCGAAGATCGCACATGATAAAAGCATGACCTACGTTTTGGAAAGGATGATATGGTAATAGTGGAGGCGGGGGGGGGGGGGGGGGGCAAGGATATGCTAGGCTGGAGGGATACGAGTGAGAGAGGACAGGGGAGGGAGAAAGGAGGGAGTGTTGGTTGGAGATTGGAAGGAGAGGGGTGGGGGAAGAGGGAGACGGGTGGAGGATGAGGGAGCAAGAGTGGGACGGACCTGGAGGGAGAGGGGCGGGGGAAGGGGTTAGAGTGAAGGGTGAGGGAAGTGGAGGGAGAGGAGGTGCAGGCCGGAGAAGGAGAGGGGGCGGGGGGAACTGACTGACACATGAGCTTACAGAAGCATGTTTCTGGATAGAGATTGAGAAGGATAGTTTACGAATAATGGAATAACACCGAGACCAGATTAATAAAACGGAAAGCTACAGCGAGGGATTGCAGTTTGAAATAAATAATATTTGCTAATATAACAGTATTTCTTGATAGATAATTCTTACTAAGGAATTTGGTTGTACTGCATGACCCCTTTCGATCCTGACCTTGAAAGACACCCGTCTCCATTCCCCGATATGTTGTTTGCTTGCATGACAGCACGTGTTCACGCACATGCACTCGCACTTCCTACAGCTCTTAATATTTCAGTATTAAAGTAAAAGTATCGAAGGTAGGTATCGCACGTCTGTAAAAAAAAATGTATCTAGCAATGAGCGATGGTTTACATTTTATGGTACCTATACTGTTAATTGAATCTTCAATTATCTGGCGGCTAATTTGCATATATATTCCAACGGGGATAAAGTTTTACTTGTAGTTTTTGGTTATACTTATTATGAACGAATATTTTCTCTCAAACTGACTGATTTCCGGATTAACGACTGACAATTTTCGTTTCTTTTTCTTAACAGTCTAAGCCCTTCTTCGTGACTTTTACTAATATTGATATCCTTCTATGAATGCGTACATTTATTAGGAAATAAAATGTGATAACCTTCGTCACTTCGGATTCTTTTCTGTCGTATCTTATTCTGAAACCTCAGATTTATGGTTCGATTTCTCGAATCCCTGGATATTTTGGTTCTTCGTTTCCTGGTAAAAAAGGTACATCCTTATCCATAGAAAATAGTATCCCCCCCCCCCCCCGCTCATATACATATGAAGTCACTTTTTTTTTGCTTATACCTGAAAGAAAATGATGGCATGCAAGCGTTACACGTAATACCGGAAGGGCATTAGCATATACAATGCAGTGTACAGTAGCTCTGATATAATTTTACTTTGCTAATATTGATAAACAGATAGGAAGTGAATTTGTGAATTCAACTATTGTCTCTAAAAGTTACAGTTCAAAGATTAGGTGCTTCAAATAGAAACACGGACCTATTAATGTTGAATATGAATACTAATCAAGTATGGTCATTGTTAATGATGATACTATCGCATTACAAACAGGTTACCTATAATGAGGGACAGGCTTGGAGGAACAGGTCATATCCCTGAAGTACGTAAACCCCATATGTTGCGGGAGCAGTCCTCTAGAGAGACGAATTCGTGTTGGGAGTACGGCAGAAGACCATCGAGGAAGTAACCGTACCCAGTAACCCTGTGACGCCTCCTGGTGAATGGGCTGTCTCTAGAATTAAAGGGGCTTTCGCATGAGGCCTCGGCAGGGGTTTTCCGACCTGTTGTAAGACTATCCTTCCCGAAGTCGTGAACAGAGTAATTTTATGTTAGTTCTTTCTTTATAGTACTCAAAATATTTCAGGATAATCATAAAATACTTCAACGGAAAAAAATAATGGAAAACATTTAAGAAAAAAAAAATGTTCACGAGAAGTTTCCTATTCGTGTTTAATTTCACTGCCAAGAGGCAAAATTCTTGCATAGAATTCTTAAAAGTGTAGCTCGACTGTATCATCATATATTCACAGGTGTTTTGCTGGTGCACTTGCTGTGGAAGAACAGATGTTCAGAATATGTTTCGCTCAAAAGGGAATATGATATTAAAAGATAGCGATTTGTAGTGCCATTACATCTTGCTATAAAACCATTGTATGCCTAAACAACCTGTCTTTTGAGTAGTAATAGTTGTTTCCGTTTCTCTATTTAGACGAAATTATGAATTTATGAAGATAAGTTATTAACCATATACATGTGCTATGAAATAAAATCAGGAGATATGCATGTGCTTCATTAAAAAAAATAAAAATTTAGTTTGAGGAACTTTCAAATTATTCTCAGTATATGTAACTGCCAAAACCCCTTAAGCGAGGCTTCAGTGCGACGACAATATAAATATTCCAGAGTTCATTCTCAGTCTCCAAGGCTAACTCAGCAAGAGAGAAGACTCGGAGAGAGAGAAAAAAAAATCTTGCTCAAGGAACCGGTTGTCGTCAGGAGGAGAGAGAGTCCCAAGGAAACTGAAGGAGAAAACTAAATCCACAAGAAGTTGAGGTTCTGGTTAAGGCATTTTTACGCAGGATAACGGAAAATAGGCCACTGACTTTCAGATTCGGCGATAGTCCTTCAACAAATAATGTGAATTACCAACAGACGGCACGATATAACACACCATATAGCCAGCTGATTACTGAGCGGAGATACGCAAGGTTACTGAACTAGTAACACATGATAGGCTGCTGCTTTATTTTTCGTAATTATTATTATTATTATTATTATTATTATTTTTTTAAGTATAAATATCATGTCAGATAACTTGAAGTAATAATACGGATGTACACTGTGTTTGCGGGATGATTTTTAATGGGAATTTACTCTCAACTTAATTTACAGTAATACTTTTAAAATCCCTTTTTTCTAATGTTTTCCTAAGATCGAGCAACAAATTACACGAGAACTCCATTCATTTTGTTGAGATTCTATCCGATTCACTTTATAGGAAATACGTTCATAATAGAGGATGGAATAAACACTCCAACCATGCCGGTCAATGCACCGGCCCGTCTACGCACAACAGTTGGTAACAAGAGATAAAGAATTTATCTCATAGAAACAACCTAATTAGGTAGCACTTATGTTTTATTCCTACACTTGAGGATAGTACCCGTTGGCGTTGGTCCGGACAGAACTGGATATAACCGGTTATATTTGGATTGTGGTCGGCAACCTTAGCATGATAACTCCAAGGTTACGGCGGCGTCACCCAATACAAATGTGTGAATGTACACGTACACGACTCCTGTAGAACTAATATCCTGTGTCATTGACTTTGATGCATCCAAGTGTTCGATTTTTTTTCTGTATATGGAAAGCTTTTGACAACGATGGAAATTAGTTTTATTAATGGAGAAGGAAGGATCCGAGGAATGTAGTTACATACGATCAAGATTATTGATTTCAGAGCTCCTAATTACACGTGTTTACGAGTCCACTACAGACACACCTTAGCAAGAAAAACAAGAGCACACCTTCCTTCCCGAAAACCTACAAGCTTAGTATCATGTTCACAGGAGCTCGTCCAGACCCTTTCTGTACTCTGTTCTACCGTTCTACTCTACTAACCGTCACTTGGGTTACACGTGCGTTCCGAGTAGACGCAGGCGCATTTGTGACTGTTTTCTGAAGAGTTGCCAGGAGAATGTACGCTGTTTGTCGGTTTGTTTTGATTTGTATTCTATTTTGTTTGTTGAATTGGGTTTTGTTTTATATGTTTTATGTGGTATTACAATCATTATGAATTTCACTGCATATATTATAGTGCAGGGTGAATACTGTCGTTGTTAATTGATGTCATGCCTACAATTATTTGCTGGCCTGGTAAGGGTAAGGGAATTATTAGTTTTGTCAATTTAAACAAAAGATCTGTTCATAAAATTTGCGAAAGTAACATGACATTGCAATCACCGTCTGCTTGAGAGTTTTGCGTGGCTGCTCCCAACTGGGGATGCAAGACATCGGTTCGCCAAATAATATGTTTATTTGCAATAAACACCCATATCCTTCATCACGCGGTCAAATCCTCCACACTCAGTCATCGACCCCCCAAAAAACAAGTTTCATAACTTGCACAAGAGACCCGCACTATCTCAAAAACAAATGAAATAAGCCCGCGTTGGCAATCCCCGGCTTGAGCCAAGTGCCAAGCATCACCTCAACTCCATCGGGCCTGCCAGTCGGTGCAACCAAAGCCTCAAGATCTGTGCTGTTCGCCATGTTCGCCTGTGCTCAGATATACAGGCGGTTTAGCACCTCGCAGGTAAATGGGATGACGTCGGGTCGTTAGGGATGGTGAATTGCCATGCTTCTTGAGGACATTGGTGGGCGTTTTCCTTTTGAATATCATGTCTTCTGTTCTTCGGTGGATGGAATTGGAGTATATTGATGTGGATACATGAAAATAAATAAACAAAAGAAATGTTCTTGAAATATATGTGTGATAGATAATGTATATGGAATATCGCACAAGCAAATAATCACAACACAGGTAATCGTTATGATGCTGTGCGATTTAATTTATCCTTTGGAAAATAACTGAAGCAGATGTCAGTGAATACAATTCATTATTTCTGACGCTGGCAAAAAATCAAACCATATTGCCTGCA